TTTAACCTACAAACGCGGAATTGAAAACATATGAAGCCGAAAGATAAATAAATAAACAATATATGTTGACTTCATATTATATAGGAAGATCTATTAAATTTATTTTAGCCGAGAGATAAATAAATAAATAATGACCAGGGATGAATTTGGATATCTTCAGTTTCGTCAAGATTTTGGTCGGCGTCATCATGAGCCATTCATGATAATTGAAGTTGCCTCCAAATCAGACTGTTTGAATTTACATGCAGATATATATATATACATATATATAGCATGTCGGCTACCACAATTAATTAAATAATAATAATAACTTTTTTTTATATCATAACTCATGGTCCATCCTATGGCAATGTCTCTTGCTGGGAATAACTCTAGAGAGAGAAAACCTGAAGACCCAGCCGTTTTGAGAAATAAAGAAGAATAAATAAATGAATGGACAGACCCATGTGTAGATTTAGCAGAACAACTTTATTGAATTGCCGAAAAAATGTTTGCACCAAGGAAGGTGTGAAACCCATTTTTAGAGAGAGAAAACAGCTACAAACTTCATCTTGTTTTGACAACCTTTCTAAGCAATATTAATATTCAACAAGGGCTTGATCAAATCTGTGAGCATAAATAGATACATACATAGACGTGTATATATATATATATGTGTATACCTGAACTTTAGCAAAAAACATAATCAGAATGAAAGAAGCCAAAAACACAGTTGTGGTCTCCTTTTTTAGAAAGAGAATGGTTAACCTTAGTGCTCACTGGTCGAAGTACCTTGGGTGTCGTATTGATTCCTCTCTTCGTTGAATTCCTTAGCTCTTTCCCACAGACGGTGCCAATTGTGAGACCATGAAATATCCTCTCACATGGATGTTGTAGAGATCCAATGAAGATATGAACTTTGTCTCGATGAGTCTGCAAAGATGAGCACGATCGGCGCCCCCAATCGGGGTTGCCGACCGGAGACCCTCTGATGTTAAACTTAGTCCTTTGATTGAAGGAATAAAGCTATGGAAATCAAGAGTGTTGGTGTGTAGTGTAGAGAGGGAAAGATCACATACCTCCTCTTCTGGGATGCCCCCCTTTATATAAATGGGGGGTGTGATATTAGTTTGGGCAAGACCCATTGTAGGCCTTGTTTGGATTAACCCCAATAAGCTGATATATTTTTTTTTTTCTGGCTCCCACATATACCAATAGATATTTTATTTTTAAAAAATAGTAATATTGTTAAAAGACCCAGTAAGGGCGCTGGAGAGCTTTTCTCTAGCGATTTTTGACGCCCTTCTGGTAATTTTGCAGCGAGATGCAAATCACTTCTAAAATGTAGGTTTTAGTTTTTTTATGCCTAGGGAGAGAGGTTTGAGTGTTTCTTCTCCGACTTTTTGAATAGATTTTTAGATTTTCAACACTTACAATTATCCTTTCTTCTCTCAATCATCATCCCTTAATGTTGTGAGTGTTCTTCTTCCTTCAACTCTAACTTTTGACGATAATCGAATTTCAAGAAGGCAATGGTAGTAGGGATGACGGCGATGAAGGGTTTGATCTTATTTTTTTCGGATCACATTGGTGAGAAGATTGATGATTTTCCTAAAATAACAAGTGATTTTTTTGACAACTTTTGTAATTTATAGCTTGTATAGAGTTTCTTATTTGGCCCTTTAGACCTTTTTTTTTTTTTTTTTTTATGTGATATGATTCTCAATTTTATTTTAATATAATCGCGTTGTAATTTTTTTTAAAAATAATACTATATTAATGTAATCCATGTCAAGTGAGCTTTCTCTTTAAATTGGTATATTTATTAATATTTCTGACATTACTATCATATTATTGATAAGATATTGAAAATATTAATTTTTATATTTTTATTCCTAAAACGTGCTTTCAAAATAAGATTATGCTGTAAATTCAAAATTAGCCTCTTTGTATTATAACATGTGTCCTCCATTGTTTAGATCATGAAAAAGATAAAATAAAAATATATATATTATGTAGGTCCGGCTCAAAAATAAATATAATTCATAAATTTATTTTTATTTTTATTTTTATTTTTATTTTTATTTTTATTTTTATTTTTATTTTTATTTTTTTGTAATTTTTTCATGTCAAGTCTATATATTTTTCCATAATCATATCAATGAAAGTTTTTAAGATTGTTAATAAGAATACAAAATATTTAAATATTTAAAATTACACACTTCAAATATTTTAAAATAATTTTATATATTTTTATACAATTTTTTAACACTAATAACTATTTTAAAGATTTTAAATAGGGGTTTGGTTTTTTTAAAAAAAAAATTCGAAATCAATTCACCATTTTTTTTTTTTTTTTTTTTTTTTTTTTTTTTGGCATTTTCTTTTATTGAGGGAGAAAGACAGAACCACTTGGAAGAGCCCCTCAAGCATGTCACATCCCACGTGGGCCACATTGTTGCACATGGTTGTGTTGTGTGTGAGTGAGGGAGACACTCTAGCTTTGAATCCAATCACATAATACTTACACATATTTATTTCCAACTAGTTGGACCCCGCGCGCATAGCGTAACAGTTACAATACTTATTTAAAAAAAAAAAAAATTATATGTATAAGATGAGTCCTTTTTTAAAAAAAAAAAAAATTCTTTTACTAACAAAAAATTTATTAATAAGATGAGTACAAACTGGGAAGAGAAATACGATTAGTTCAAAACAAGCACTGTGAGGACATAATTTTTAAATAGCACGTGGCCGAGGTAAAATCGAAGTGTCAGCTGAGGTGTCACGTGTCTTGGTCATGACACTGAAATGATTTCGGCTACGCCGAGGTTATCTGCAAAGATACCGGAATCCAAGATAAGCGGATAAGGGACAAGAGTCCTAGAATGGGAGAAGACTTCAGTTTAGGTAAAGATAAGACTCTTAGAGAGTTTATCCAATCCTACTGGGAGTCCAAGATTAGCAGTAATCCTAAATCCATTGAAGCTAGGCTTCTATTGGGACTAGGTTTGTGTTGGCTATAAAAAAGAGGCACCCTCATGTGTCTAAGATATGTTTTTTATGCTCTGAATAGTGAGTTAAGTACTTTTGCTATCTTTGAGAGATAATTGACTTAATCGTCGGAGTGCCTCTGGGTAGACGAACCACCGCCGGAATCTCTTCTTTTTGTGACAGGTCGTTCGGGCTTAATCTATTCTGCCAATGTTCTCCAGCTGAGTGCTTGCTTGGCAGTGTGGTCAGAAATTGACACACACAATTTGGCGCTGGCTGTGGGAAAGAAAGGAGAATAGATGGCCAACGGCAGACAGAAAGAGAAGGTTGGGGACGACACCCCTACTGAGAGTGGGAAACATATTGACCCTAACGTCGAAGAAGACAACTGCAACGAAGAGACTCGTGATAAGAATCACGGAGAAAAGGACGTTGGCCAGGAGGGCGACGTGCCAAAGAAATCAGACCGAAGCAGGTATTATAACGAGGATGACCTCTAGGTATGGAAGTATAGATGCCTGTGGAGGGACGACGAGATGAAGGGAATGGCGAACAAATTGGCGGACCTACAAACGGTCGTCAATTTCATGATGCAGGACAACGTCATGCAGCCACCATTGCAACTACAAAATACGCCGATTCTAGTGGCCAAGAAAGGTGCCCGGAAAAGGGGGCAGAAAACGGTTCCTGCAGTCCCTCAGCATGGCGGGACCAACGGACATTCTCACCGGCCTTCGCGGGAGGTCGGCCATGGAGAATCCCAGAAGACACGTCAAACAAAAGAAACTTGCACCAAAGAACATCGAGATGTTCAGGGAAAGGAACTCTGTTTCGACACGACCAATGGAGGGAGGTCCAAAAGGACTCACAATGACATTGGAAGTAGTGCACCAAAGAGGACTGGAGAATGATGCTTGGGAGTTGAAATTTACAAGCTAAGGTTGGTTTAAAACTTGTCGAGATTTTAAAAATTTACAAGTTGAAGTTAAACCGAGGTCATGTTTAACACTTGTTGAAATTTTAAAAATTTACAAGTTGAAGTTAAACCAATGTCATGTTTAACACTTGTTGAAATTTTAAGAAAAATTTACAAGTTGAAGTTAAACCGATGACATGTTTAACACTTGTTGAAATTTTAAAAATTTACAAGTTAAAGTTAAACAGATGTCATGTTTAACACTTGTTGAAATTTTAAGAAAAATTAACAAGTAGAAGTTAAACCGAGGTCATGTTTAACACTTGTTGAAGTTTTAAGAAAAATTTACAAGCTGATGTTAAACCGGGGTCATGATTAAAGGAATGAATGATATAGGTTCCATCACCTCAGGATGCCGAGGTAATAAAACCTAAGTAGCAGTTGTGGGGACATAATTTTTGAATGACAACACATGGCCAAGGTGACACCGAAGTGTCAGCCGAGGTGTTACGTGTCTTGGTCATGACACCGAGATCATCTCGGCTAGGCCGAGGTTATCTGCGAAGATACCAGAATCCGGGATAAGCAGATAAGGGACAAGAGTCCTAGAATGAGAGAAGACTTCAGTTTGGGTAAAGATAAGACTCTTAAAGAGTTTATCCCAATCCTGCTGGGAGTCTAAGATTAGCAGTAATCCTAAGTCCATTGAAGCTAGGCTTCTATTGGAACTAGGTTTGTGTTGACTATAAAAGAGAGGTACCCTCATGGGTCTAAGGTATCCTTTTTAGGCTCTGAATAGTGAGTTAAGCACTTTTGCTATCTTTGAGAGATAACTGACTTGATCGTCGGAGTGCCCCCGGGTGGACGAACCACCGTCGGAATCTCTTCTTTTTGTTGACAGGTTGTTCGGGTTTAATCTATTCTGCCGGTGCTCTCCAGCTAAGTACTAGTTTGGCAGTGTGGTCGGAAATTGATACACACAAGCACCAAACTACATATCTCCAATACAAAACAATCACATAACTACAAAACACTAAAATATGAAAACATTACGTATCATTACATACTTGCTAGCAAGATAGTTAGATACCAACATATAAGACCAAAGGCAAACAAAAGAAAAACACAACTCCATTGACCAATAAATCAAATAAATTAAATAAGGAAATAAGATGAGCATGCACTGATATCTCTGTTGATATCATCTCCTCCTTTGATTTTTCTCTAGGGGTCAGATAGCCTCACCTTTGCCATTCTCTAGACTGCATATTAGTTGATCTCCTCTCACTACAAAAAAATTGACTTTTTGGTGGTCACCTTCACTGTTTTAGCCTTTTTCAGTTTTCAAAAACCCGTTCTCTTAAAAATATTCAATACACAAATTCTTCAGAAGGCTAAAAAACTAAGATAACAGGTGAACATGTCCTAAATAGAAGATCAATATTGAAAGTGAAATGAAATAGCCAACAAATTAATTTGTGAACATGTTCTAAATATTTTGAATAGATATATCTCAGTACTGCTTTGCGATTTCCGACAGTGAAGAGTATGTTCCCAGGACTGCACAAATAATGCCCAGTGCCACTGTTGTGATGCTCAAGACAATCTGAATATGTGGAAACAGATGCAAGTAAATACAAGGGAAGTAGTTACATATACCAAAAAATATACAATAATAATAAATATTGACTATGTTTCTTCTTCCATTCATGTATGTGCTTCTTTATTTAATTATTTTCTTTCTTCTTGCTTTATTCATTTATCAGTCTAACAATTAGTTCATGGCCATCAATTTATGCATATGTTATGATATCCATCTATTACAGTATGGTACATATGCTGTCTCGTACCAAAAAACAATGAGCTTGTTCATTTCACCAAAAAAAATTCTAACAGAAACCTAGAGCTTGTTTGGTTGTGTTTCTGTTTTCTGCTTTCTGTTTTCATGTTTTTAAAAAAACACACAACTTATTTGAGGAACTGTTTCTGAAAACAACCAACTTTTTAGAAAACACCAAAAAATTGTTTTCATACAAAAAATGGAAATGATGGGTGTTTTCAAAAAAATTCATTGTTTTTGTTTTCCAAAACAAAAAACGAAAAACAACCAAAATGCCCAGTTCTCTCAAAAACACAAACAGAATATTTGCTGCTACACCTTGTTAAACTTCATTCTGCCACTCTTCTTTGAGTTAAAAGTGAAGCACAAGCATCAATTTGGTGTCATGTTTGAAGAGAGTAATATTCTTTCTATAAGAAATGATTTCCAGCTCCATAACCAAAGCAAACATTGAATTCTTTTCAATAAGTCTCATGCTAGGACATTCTTGATCCTTAAAGCTATAAGAAGGCTGTTGTCTGATGCATAATCCATTTAGTTTTCTAATGATTTCTTCCGAAATTTGAGGATAGAAATAAGGCACAAAATATGAAGGAACGGTGAATTGAGCTCTGTTACCTGGGTGGTTGTCGCCTTCTTTACAATTCTTTGGAAACATAATGCTGGCACTATTACTGCCGGAGCCACACCAAATGCATTGTTAATGAACATATCTAAACCCCACACAGAAATCAACAAAAATTCATAGACAAAAAACCAAAGAGGAATACAAGACATAAACAAATCAGGAATGAAACATACATCATAAGATGTTGGTAAAGATGTGTAATCTTTAGGAATGATGTGGTTAATATGTAAGAATTTGATCTTACTTTGGGCTGCCATTGATTTATATTTTATGATTTGTGAAAAACAGGTTGAAAGTGATTAAGATAGACTGACTAATATACGGTCCATCTTAGTATATGTATTGTTTTCTAAAATGGGAATGTGGTATGGAAGTGTAGGGCATGTTTTTATGTTGTTTGGGTTCAATAGGAGGACCCTAACCTTTCAATCCTAAAACCTTATTCCTTTTTAGCCTACCACTCTAATCCTAAAAACATAGCTTTTCCCTTGTTATCCAGAAAACTCAGAAAGATATTACTTCTGTGTTTACACTAAAATCAGTTTATAATGAATACGTATTCATTAGAAAAGGTCCAAAAGAGAAGATTTCACACTAAAACCAGTCTTTGGAACAGACAAGGACTCTTGCATATACTGTGATGTGTGTCAGTGCTTTCCTAACCCTATTGTAGAAAATAGGAAAAACTCATGGATAGCAAAGAGAGCAGCTACATAAAAGATCTTTTCCTAAAAGAAAACTTCAAGGTTTTCTCCCCTTTCAGCTTCTTGTGATGTTTCTAATCTCCCACCAAATGATTCCAAGGTTTCAAAAAAATTTAGTTTTATTTGGAAATTTTCGGTGTTTAAAGGCTGCCTTAGACTTAACCAAGGAGATGGTTTTTAATAGAGCCAACTGGAGGAGTAAATGGGTCCATGTTTGTCGACCCCAAGTAAATTGGGACTAAGTTGAGTTAAATTGAGTCAAAGGTTAGCTAAAATACACAGCTATGATATTGTCAAACTTTTTTGCTTAACAAAACATCCAAATTCAATTCCAACTTTCTTGATATTTGTTTGAATAGTTGACTGCTCTGGTTGAATTGGAACTAACATTGTCAATTCTGGGGATATGTATTAATTATTTAACAGTGCACTCATCAATATTACCATAGTTTTGACATCACTAGCACTAAAAACTGCCTAACTGATACTGCAACTACAAATCAAAATGCATTTTAAGGTGAATGCATTTTGAAAACCTTCCTATAGGCAAACTGCTCTTAAATAATGCCAAGAAATGACATATATAGTGCATGTCAAGTACAGAATCAAACATTAAGATTGTAAGTGATGATCTTATTATACATGCCAGTGATATGATATGGAAATGAATGGTAAGAAAACATCACGTACTGAAGAAAGAAACGAGAAATGCAACAATAACAGAAGAAATGACAAGTGCTGTCCTCAGCAGAATGAAACACCAGAAAGTACAAGAGATTCTGACAGGCAGCAGTTCCTCGATACTTCTGGCCAATGGGTTCATCAACAGGGCAAACTTGTGCAGTGTTAAGGAATCAAATATGGATATTTACTTCATAATTTTGCAGACAACGTCACAAATTACATCTAATATCCTATTTTCATAACTTAATAATTTAGTCAAAGGATATTTAGTGAATGGGTTGATAACCTGCAAAAATAAATAAATAAATAAATAAATAAAATTACAGGAACAAAAACAAAACTGTCGAGTTAGAGAAGACATCAATGATTGAAAGGACGAAAAAAAAAAATCAAGAGCTCATACAGGAGATAATAAGAGATCAAGGAGGATGTGGAATCTGATACTTACTGTTGTCCACAATGCAACTTTAGCAATTGAAAAATCTGTGATAATCAAAGAACACGTCACGGTAATGAATCAATAAGAATTGAGAGAGAGAGAGAGAGACCTTGATCGATCTTGGAGTTGTAAAGGAGGTGGAGAGTTCATTCTTCCCATGGCTCGTCTTGAAGGCCGTCGTGAATGTCTTCGCCGGCCATTACTATTCACCAATTGTTTGGGTCTCTTTCTTGCTCTTGCTCCTGAATAGTACTAGAAATGATGAGAGAGAAAGAGAGAGAGAGAGAGAGAAGACTTTTGGATTCACTATCTCCGTGGCATTGGTCACTCAACTCATCCGATTCACTATCAGCGACTGATTTCGATTTCCTACTTCTACACCTAGAACTCCTGCTCTTCCTTTTCCTCATCGACCGTGAATCATCCGAATCAGCATCTGAAACAAATTGAGACGGAGAGAGAGAGAGAGAGAGAGAGACGTAAGAAGAGATTAGGGAATTTAAGATTGGGGATTTTGGTTCAAGAGATTGGGGATTTTGGGTTTGGGGTGGGGGGAAACCCGAGCGGGAATGGAAAAGGGGGGAAGAGATTAAGGATTTTTGAGATTGGAGATTTTGGGTTTGGGGTGGGGGGAACCCGAGCGTGAATGGAAAAGGAAGGGGGGGAGAAATTTTTTGGGATTTTTTTTTTATTTTCATTACAAATAAATATTTAAATAATAAAATTACTTTTTTTTTTTTTGCAACAGAGGATGTCATTGCTAAAAAAAAATTATTTTTTATTAAAATAATTTTTTTATAGTTAATGAATTTTTATTTTTATTTTTTCATTTAGTAGGGTTGAAAATTTATTTGTTTCATATTTATTTTAATGAATAAGAGAAGAGAGATGAGCGAGAGAGACAGAGAGAGAAAACAGATGAGAGAGATAGAGAGAAGAGAGATGAGCGAGAGAGACAGAGAGAGTAGAGAGATGAGAGAGATAGAGAGAAGAGAGATGAGCGAGAGACAAAGAGAGAAAGAGAAAGAGAAAGAAACAAAGACAAAGACAAAGACTGATAGACAAAGAAGAGTGATGAGTGAGAGAGAGAAGAGAGGTAATATTTTGTGGTAGAGAAGAGGAACCGACAGTAGTGGTGAAGGTGGTAGATAAGAGATGATGGTGGTGGTAGTGGTGATGACAAAGGAGATTAGTGGTGAAATTGTGGTAGATGGAGTAGCAGGGGTGAAAGAGAGGTAATGGTAGTAGTAGTAGTGGCAATAGTGGTAGTGGTGGTAGTGAAGTGGTGGCGATGGTAGTAGTAATGGTAGTCGTAGAGTGAAATGGCGACCGTGGTAGTAGTGGCGGTAGTGAAATGGCATTTGCAGTAGTGGTGAAGGTGGTAGAGGAAATGAGTGGTGAGAGAGAGAGATGAGTGAGAGGCACAGAGAGAGAGAGAGAGAAAAAAAAGATGAGAGAAGAGATAGATGAATGAGAGACGCAGAGAGAGAGAGACAAATAGACAGACAGAGAGAGAAGAGTGATGAATGAGAGAGAGAAAGAAAACAGAGAGAAAAAGATGAAAAAATAGGTGAAAAGATATAAACAAAGAGAGAGACAGAGAGAAAAAAAAAAGAGCGAAAAGAGATAAACAAGAGAGAGACAGAAAGAGATGAGCGAGAAAGCGAGAGAAAAAAAAAGAAGAGAGAGAGAAGATAGATGAAAAAGATAGAGAGGAGAGATGGACGAGAGACACAGAGAAAAAGAGAGAGAGACAAACAGACAGAGAAGAGTGATGAGTGAGAGAAAGAAAGAGAAAGAGAAGAGAGACAGAGACACAGAGAGAAAGAGAGAAAGAGAGAGACGGACAGACAGAGAAGAGTGATGAGTGAGAGAGAGACAGAGAAGAGAGACAGAGACACATAGAGAAAGGGAGAGACAGACAGACATAGAAGAGTGATGAGTAAGAGAGAGAAAGAGAAGAGAGACAGAGACAGAGAGATAGGAAGATGAAAGAATGGGTGAAAAGAGAAATGTTCAAAAGAGTAAGACGACGTCATTTATAGTGGATCGATAAATCGAGAAGGAGCTCGATAAATAGAGAAGAGAGTGAGCAAGGCGAACATAGTGAGGGAGAAATAGATAAATAGACAAGTAGAGAGAGAGAAGAGTGATGAGTGAGAGAGAGAGAGACAGGGAGAGAGAGATAGACAGAAAAGAGATAGAGAGAGAGAGATAGAGATAGAGATAGAGATAGAGATAGAGATAGAGATAGAGATAGAGGGAAAGATAGAAAAAGAGAGAGAAACAAGAGATGAGCGAGAGATAGACAAAAAGAGAGAAATAGAGCGAAAAGAGATGAGCGAGAGAGAGACACAGAAAAAGAGAGAGACAGAGAGAGAAGAGAAATGGGCAAGAGAGATAGAGAGAGATAGAAAGATAAGAGAGAGAGAAAAGAAATGAGAGAGATAGAGAGAAGAGAGATGAGCGAGAGAGACAGAGAGAGAAAACAGATGAGAGAGATAGAGAGAAGAGAGATGGCGAGAGACACGGAGAGAAAATGAGAGAGAGAAACAGACAGACAGAGAAAGAAGAGTGATGAGTGAAAGAGATAAAGAGAAGAGAGAGAGATAGAGACAGAGAGACATGAAAATGAAAAAATGAATGAAAAGATAAGTGTTATGTCAAAAGAGTAAGAAGAGATTAGGGATTTTGAGATTGGGGATTTTGGGTTTGGGGTGGGGGGAAACCCGAGCGGGAATGGAAAAGGGGGGAAGAGATTAAGGATTTTTGAGATTGGAGAAAACCACAATCACTACGCTAGATTAGAGTTTTCTAAAAACTCTTTTAAGAAAATTATACTTTCTTGTGTTTCTGTGTTATATTGTTTTTACTGAATTTTTTTAATATTTTAAGTATTTTTTTTTTAATTTTTAGACACACCTAACATAAATCCACCTAAAAATTTTAAAAATTGTAAAAAAAACCTTTTAAAAATTCACTAAATACCAAAAATACAATAATTCAATACATTTTTTTTTTATTTTTATGTATTTATTAATTTTTAAAAAAATGAATTTTTATTTTTATTTTTTCATTTAGTAGGGTTGAAAATTTATTTGTTTCATATTTATTTTAATGAATAAAAAATTATTATTATTTTTTTATCTGGTAGAAGTAGGGATAATATTTTCCATTAAAATAAAGTTAATTTTTTGTAGTCAATGTGGCATTTGCAATGGTAGTAGTGGTAATAATGGAATGGCATTTGCAGTAGTGGTGAATGTGGTAGAGAAGATGGGTGGTGAGAGAGAGATGAGTGAGAGACAGATAGAGAAGAGAGAGAGAAAGAGAGAGAGACAGACAGACAGAGACAAAGTGATGAGCGAGAAAGAGACAAAGTGGTCGCTAAAAGTGCATTTTCTTGTAGTGGAGAGCTCGGTAAATAGAGAAGAGATGAGGGAGAGAGTAAGCAAGGTGAACACAATGGGGGAAAGAGACAAGCAGACAGACAGACAAACAGACATAGAGAGAGAGAGAAGAGCGAGAGACAGACAAACAGACACAGAGAGAGAAACAGAGAGAGAGAAGAGTAATAAGTGAAAGAGAGACAAAGAGAGAAAGAGATATAGAGAGAGAGAGAGACAGGGAGATAGAGAGAAACAGATAGAGAGAGACATATAGAAAAATAGAGAGAAACAAGAGATGAGCGAGAGATAGACAAAGAGAGAGAGAGAAAGAGAGCGAAAAGAGATGATCGAGAGAAAGACATAGAAAAAGAGAGAGACGAAGAGAGAAGAAAGATGAGCGAGAGAGACGGAGAGAGATTGAGAGAAGATAAATGAGCAAGAGAGAAGAGAGATAGAGAGATGAGAGAGATAGAGAGAAGAGAGATGAGCGAGAGACAAAGAGAGAAAGAGAAAGAGAAAGAAACAAAGACAAAGACAAAGACAAAGACTGCCAGACAAAGAAGAGTGATGAGTGAGAGAGAGAAGAGAGGTAAAATTTTGTGGTAGAGAAGAGGAACCGACAGTAGTGGTGAAGGTGGTAGATAAGAGATGATGGTGGTGGTGGTGGTGGTGATGGTGGTGGTGGCAAAGGAGATTAGTGGTGAAATTGTGGTAGATGGAGTAGCAGGGGTGAAAGAAAGGTAATGGTAGTAGTAGTAGTGGCAATAGTGGTAGTGGTGGTAGTGGAGTGGTGGCGATGGTAGTAGTAATGGTAGTCGTAGAGTGAAATGGCGACCGTGGTAGTAGTGGTGAAGGTAGTAGAGAAGATGGGTGGTGAGAGAGAGAGATGAGTGAGAGGCACAGAGAGAGAGAGAGAGAAAAAAAAAAGAGATGAGAGAAGAGATAGATGAATGAGAGACGCAGAGAGAGAGACAAATAGACAAATAGAGAGAGAAGAGTGATGAATGAGAGAGAGAAAGAAAACAGAGAGAAAAAGATGAAAAAATAGGTGAAAAGATATAAACAAAGAGAGAGACAGAGAGAGAAAAAAAAAGAGCGAAAAGAGATAAACAAAAGAGAGACAGAAAGAGATGAGCGAGAAAGCGAGAGAAAAAAAAGAAGAGAGAGAGAAGATAGATGAAAGAGATAGAGAGGAGAGATGGACGAGAGACACAGAGAAAAAGAGAGACAGACAGACAGACAGACAGAGAAGAGTGATGAGTGAGAGAAAGAAAGAGAAAGAGAAAGAGAAGAGAGACAGAGACACAGAGAGAAAGAGAGAAAGAGAGAGACGGACGGACAGAGAAGAGTGATGAGTGAGAGAGAGACAGAGACACATAGAGAAAGGGAGAGACAGACAGACATAGAAGAGTGATGAGTAAGAGAGAGAAAGAGAAGAGAGACAGAGACAGAGAGATAGGAAGATGAAAGAATGGGTGAAAAGAGAAATGTTCAAAAGAGTAAGACGATGTCATTTATAGTGGATCGATAAATCGAGAAGGAGCTCGATAAATAGAGAAGAGAGTGAGCAAGGCGAACATAGTGAGGGCGAAATAGACAAATAGACAAGTAGAGAGAGAGAAGAGTGATGAGTGAGAGAGAGAGACAGGGAGAGAGAGATAGACAGAAAAGAGATAGAGAGAGAGAGAGAGAGACAAACCAAATAAGCAACAGTGCTACACTAGGAAGCTCAGCGTTACACCGTGCGTTACGCCACTCTTACGTTCTTTTTATATGGGTTATAGATTCAGTCATTGTCAACACTACCACCACTAGCCCACCTCACTCTTCTTGGCTCACTCTCCCAAGTGTATGCTGACTGGGCTTGGGCCCATAGCCCAACTTGGCTTTTCTTTTTTGACACCTAAAATTCCACAACCCCATTTTTACATTTTTAAAATAATTTTAAAATTTTAAAAAGAAAAGAAAAGGTTTTAAATTCTGCTAATTAATCTTTACTAGGATCCACTCTTATGATGCATGTGGGTGGCCCACTAACTGTCCAATGAGATTGTGGGGTTCCAATTTTTTTGAACAAGACCTAGTGGGAGTATTATTTATGCCATTTGGATTTCTATAATTTTGCTAGGTTTAGAGTATTTTTAGTGGGTTGCTAACAATTTACAGCCTTCGAATTAACTAAACAAATAGTTTTTTTTTATTTAAAAATAACTCCACAAGGTAAGTAATGCTAATATATATATATATACTAACCAAATATATTTTTTTTTTTGATTAAAAATAACTCTACAAAGTAAATAATGCCAATATATATAGTTTATTTTTAATAATTTTTTAATGTGATTAAAATAAAAATTTTGACAAAACATAATTTTTTGAGTAAATGG